CCCTTATTGCAAAGAAACCCGTAACTCCAACACGGCTTTACCGATTTTAAAGTTTTCACTATCAATTTCAAGAGGAAGAAAAACTCTACGATATTTTATATAAAAACAATCCTAATAATTTTCCAAAGATCTGCTGTTCAAAAACATTTCTTTGTTTTCATTTTTCACAAAAATTTCAAATGCTACCATCAAGTCGCAAGCACAGGAAAAAATGAACCAAACTGAAAAATTTTTAGATTCGGCTTTTCTTAAATTTTTAGGTGCTCTCAAAAATAAAACAAATACATTTTTTGAACAGTGGATCTTTCGAAAATGATTAATTGCTTTTATATCAGATATTACAGAGTTTTTATTGCTCTTTCAATTAATACTAAAAACTTTGAAATCGGTAAAGTCGTGTCCGAGTTACAGATTGTGCATTAAGCGGTTTTACTTTTCCCCCACCCTTTATTTGACAAGTTATGAAAAAAAGTTCATAAGGAAAGTAGTGCGGTTTTTTATGATGTTTTGACTAAACTTACTAGATGTTGCACTTATCGGGACAATTTCTGTACAAAATCTACTTTTTAAAATACCGTTTGCAATTCCCCCATCTATCGGTCATCTGAGAAATTTCAAAATAACTTCCCAAGATACAGCCGCTTACCATCCTTACTGCGACACCCGGTATAAAATTATGAAACGTTGTAAATATGAAAATTACTTGACCTTTTAAACATGCAAAGTGAAGACAAAGAAGCTATTGGCTAAATTCTTTGTTTGTCTAGTTTCAACAGGTTTCCGTTCTCAACTTTTCACTTTTTCTGAACTTATTTTAAGCATTAATTGTAGATTAATCAAGCCTAAGCTTTTCGCACAATGATTCATATGAAACTTTAAACTTGTATAAAGTTCAAATCAGTTGAATGTTAGATGACCGTTGATTTCAGATAGAAAATCGTTATGTTTCATAGGGATTGAAAATTTGATTTTGGAAAGACGGGGTAATAGAACCAAATGGATCCATATATTTTCATAATGAAACAGGACTTTTTCCAAAGAAATATTTAATCAGTTCAGACAATCTGTACAATTACATTATATTAGGTTTTACAGTTACATAAGAAACATGGCATCAAAGCTTAATTGTAGCCCACTAACAGTACACTATCTATAATACATTTACTTTTTGCTTAATTCGGTTTGAGGGTACTATGACTTCAGTGAACGTTTGGAAGATTTTATCATTCCCTAAACCTGTGGAGGGTTTGTGCAAAAGATTTTGAAAACATTCAAAAACGTTTTTAACTGCTAAATCAATTATTTAGATCTATTTTCATTTTGGCCTGACACTAAAGTTGAAACCGGTTTACACAATGATAAACAACTTCATTCGTTCATCTGAGTCTAAAACGTATATTACATCATACAATACGAAACATCATATTCAACTTAAATGCTAGACTTACGAGTACTATAAACAGTTTATAAATAAATATATTATATTGCACAGACGAATACTGGAAAATAATCGATTCTGTGCAGACTTGAGTGAACTAGTTCGGTTTCGAATACATATTTTGTTGAATTCGAAAATTCGTTATTGTTGAATTCGAAAATTCGTTATTACTATTTAAATAGATCTTGCTATGCGGCCCGGCCCAATGTCTGCATTCACCTTAGAATGATTGCAAAATTTACAATGCCATTAATTTTGACGGTTAAATGTTTATATTTTGTTGCGCATTTTGCAGCTAAAACCTGCCCTAATGGCTAGGAGTAAAAAATATAACTCTTGCGAACTATCAGTTCATTCCATCAATTTTTAAAATTTCTGCATTATACGTATTCAATCTATTCACGGCTATTGGAATATAATTATACTGCCTACACATTCTGACTGACACCATTAGAATATCGTTAACGAATTGGCTTTAGCATGTTAATGTACACGATAACGTTAATTTGGGCGATGTAAAACAAAAGTTTATCAAATCAACTACACTATTCTTATCAGTTTTCATTCAGAAACTGCAACATAAATGTGGGTGAAAAAATCGTACTAAACTGAAATAGAATGCGTAATCACCATACTAATTAAGCGGCGCTTTAAAATCGTGCTATTTACGAAATAGTGCAAAGGAAAATAACAGTTAATTTTCATTTCAATGTTTGGGGTTGGGTCAATCAGTACTCCGAAATAATTTACCATTTTGCTGTTCATGTGAACTAGAAGATTTTCTGTATTTTTGCGTTACGAATCTGAAGAGCTCCAATAAAGCATAGACACTTAAATGCATTTGTTCCTAAGCGTTTTCAATCAGCTAAAGAAAGCCTGGTAATAACAGCAGATGATAACATGGTTTCTGGTTTAACAGTTTCGCATGTACCAAAGCAATAACAGTGTCAAAACCCAAGATAAATCATCTATTACCTGCCGCCAAAACTCGAATTTGAAACTAGTTGAGGAAACTTTTTAGAAGAAAAGAAACCAGAAGTTGCCACAAGGTTGAGCCAGATGAAAGTGTCAAACCACTGTAGTAGAGTAAGGACTGTATGCGAATGTGTCTTCCAGCCATCAAAAAAGTACACTTCACATTTCAAAAAGACAAACAGAAGTAACTGGAAGCAAAAAACACTTCGTTAAACTGTTTTCCTATTTCCGAAATTATTACATTTTTAAACATGTCATGACTTTCAATTTTTAAACCAGAAAATCAATTTGCGCCCGCTTGTGGTATGATACGCTTTTGAAGTCGGCTTCCATTCAGGCAAAGAAATGACGGGGTTCTGTTTCCACATGTTCTTAGAAACTGACTTGGGCAATGTGAATAATTGAAAAAAACTGCAACAACATAATCCGCCATCCAAAAACATGGTGATAAAACAAAAAGTATAGCGCAAAACTATAAGTTCCAAACAAAGTTCAATTCACTAATGCTACACTTTGAGACAACATGTGAAAGTAAATTTTTATATAAATATATTTACATGAGTTACATTTATTAGATGAGTTAACCTGTACACTTAAGATTTATGACGAGCGGCTTGACATGCTCAAATGGCTATTTTGAATTCATGACCAAATAGTTACTATGTAATAACCAAAGCGATACAAGGTCGTCCGTTTATTAATAAGTTATGCGTTTTTGATCAAAAAGAAAATGTCACAACAAAACTTAATAGCGTATACGTGTATATTTTTACAAATCCAAAATGCGAATTTAGAGTGAGAATACACATCAGACATCGAATACATTTACTTAGTGTAACTTTTGTTGAAAATATTGTACAGTTTTACGTATCTATATTGGTAGATATATTGGAAACTAATCACGATAGTGTAGCATTTAAAGCTAGTGGTCGTTGCTAAACATTCGCTGTTACGGCGAACGTCAGCAGATAATTGTTCAGTTAGTTTTCGGTTTAACCCAGTTTTCTTTTCCGAGTTTCCAGCTCCTTAAACAAGATATAGAAATTCGATAGTGTCCATTTTTGATTTTTAAACTCCTGACCGTATTCCAAAATCAAAATGTTAATACATTCGTTTCTAACTCACTGCCCCAATGAGTATAACATGTTTCTTGGCATCGGTCCATTAGCGCACCTCATTGCTCTTGTGGTAGGCATAAATACCAACTTTAAATGCTACAATAGTGGTACACGAAAACAGTAAATACATTTATTAAACCTATTAATTTGCTTTTTACACCATTAGACGGGAGAAGTCACTGCAACTTGGCAAGAGATAAATATTTGTAATTTGACATTGTAATTACCACGTTTTCGGTGTCGGTAAGTGAGCGCAAAAAATGCAAATTTTCAAGTCACTTCGAGTTTAATTAATTCGTAGATTAATCGCAATTAATTAATGGTTGTGAAATTTTGTTGCAAAAATCTTGATGGGCCTCATAAAAATACATAGTCAATTGCTAAACGTTTATCTCCCCAAGAATGCCGATATAAGTTATTACGGTTATGGGTAATATTTGTAAATATCTGGAATCGTTGAAAATACGCTTTTGTATTAGTATCTCTAACTTTTATAATATAAGTTTGTTCTACCCTGACACCAAATTACGTATAGAGTTTACTAGAATATTTCCAAATGGGGGCATTTTTCTTGAAACCCAACCATAAAAAATAGACTATTGTATGGTATGCGCGCATACGGCAAATTTTTCATACTCAGCTTGGCACAAATGTAACTCAAAATAGTTTGGAATAACCACAGTACCACTTTATGGAACGGTTTTATTAAAAACTGAAAAGTTAATTTTCTCCAATGAAATAATTCTCGACAAAAGTAAAATCTAATTTGCTCAAATTCTTTTGAAACAAGCCTGCCAACATCGAACGAATATTTGCAACCTGTGTATGAACAGTACCTCTTCCACAAATAAAATTAGAATTGTTAGCTAAACTATAATATCTAAAACTGAACACAACGAAATACGGAAACATTTATTAACGGATAACGGAAGAGTTTATACTAAGTGGAGCCTACCCTCAAAACCTAAATTTTTAAATAAAGCTGCTTGTAATTAATCATGTTTTCTTGTAGTCCGAATACTAGAAATAAATATAAAAATAAAACAAATTTTAAAGACAATATCTAGATAATTTCGCGACACAACAAAAGGTGCTTATTTATAATGCACTACAACAAAAAAATCACAACAATTTTACGTAAAATAACGTTTATAAAATAATGAGTTTCGGATCAGCTCGGAACTGAACAACAATAATATAACTTAATAATAAAAATACTATAAAATTATTTAAGTATAAAAATAATAACGAGAACACGCTATAATTAATTATGTACAACGAATTTAACACAGAAAACAATAAAGCGAACATTTTATTAAAGCGAACATTTTGTTAAAGCGAACATTTTGTAATCTGATATAGCAATCTTTAAAGAATCTTCGCTATACGAAAACTGGGTAAAATCAATTGTCACTATTGTATGAATAGTCAACAGCAAAGACAACAAAATGCAACATTTGTAAATGAAATGATATCCAATAAAGACACAATGACATAAAAATAAACAAGTAAAGCTAGGACTAAAGTTTTTTCAGAATTTATATTGCACTTTTAATAATTTGGGTTTGTCACTACAAACTAGGTAAAGCCGAAAATTGCAAAATTATTATCCTCAGTATTGAGTTGCTTTGGTAATATGAGCAACAAACAAAATATTTTATGGGCGCAGTTGAGGTCAGTTTGGATTGCAAATCTTTGAAGCAAACGAAAAATTTTAACAAAAGCTTCCATGTAAAACTGCAATAAAACAACTCCGTATTTATATGTGACCTTTTGAATAATATACCAGCTTTCACACAATAAAACTTTAAGCCAAACCGCTTTAAAATTTGCTATTGCAAATTGGCAACGTTTCAAATTGCGGATATCTGCTTCACTTCACTGAAGTCCAAAATTTAACTTTCTACTCGAATGCAGGTGAACACAACTAAGTAGTCCTTTTATCGAAGAAAGCATCGAATAGCACAACACTGCCCGAAATTAAAATTGGCGACTAATCTTCCTGGAAAATGCTGCTAAAAATATAGAAGTTGCATCTCCTGAATATATGCAATACGCAAAAGCACTATTGTTCTGAAACATCCAATCAAATCCTAGCTATTCGAAAGCTAAAAGTAGAACGTCAACTCAAACTTAACGTAAACTATATACACTTAAAACATCACTGTTTGTTACAACACAAACACAACAAAAAACCGTCTAATTAACTTAATAATAATTTTTCAAATGTTATGACAAAAAACATGGCACAAGCTTAAGTCGGAACTTTCGTCACTGTTTTCAGTAGATCCGATGGACTTTCGGACTTTGTCATGTTCATTTTAATGGGATCGTGATGATGCTGATGTATACTCTCCCCCATGTTCTGTTTCTGCTTTTCCTGTTGTTGCTGCTTATGCCTTTCCTGCTCCTCTCTTTCTCTTCTGGCCTGCTCGTTAATCTCTTTAACTGCCCTCAATTCTTTCTTTAGTTTCATTCGTCGATTTTGAAACCAAATTTTGATCTGGCGTTCAGTCAGGCATAAAGCGTGAGCTATTTCTATTCGTCTTCGTCGTGTCAAGTAATGGTTGAAATGAAACTCTTTCTCTAGCTCTAGAGTCTGGAAGCGAGTGTAAGTTTGACGGCCTCGTCGTCTCGGACATCCATTTGGACCTAAAACCAAAGTAAAAAGATCAATTATGGAAACGACCTACTGGAATAATTCACTTTGCATTAAGCGCTACCTGAATCTTGAAAATAAGCAAAAACAGAATACTCATAGCTGTTTCTCTCGAGTATTTTCAATATCAGTGTCGATCATATTAGTGGATAAGTCGACCAGATTTAAGTCATTAATGTTATGGTTTTTAAAATACTTGGATGCCCTTGTGTTAAGTTTATTTAATCTGTTGGAAATTTTAGTCGTCAAATGTGTGTATTGACCTTCAAATTGCAATAACTTTCTCCAATCAAATACCTGACAACCCTTTTTTCACGGAATCGTGTTCATGGCTAAAGAATTTCTACCCTTTCTTTTTGTTGCATCACCGCTCATTCAAGTTACTCACTATGTGTTTAACTTTCGTTTTTGTTGCTCAGACGGTGGAAGGATACAATCAAACCCTTTTGTGTCACAAATGGGTCAAGTCTGAAATTCAATGGGATATTTATAGCCATTTATCTTTCGCATGGAAAGATTAATGAGACGGGCCAATAAAAAGGAAAATTGCAACAGTAAACAGACATTATTTGCACATTGGTCGCGTGGGATGCAAGTATACAAAGATGAAAGGGTCGGTCAAATGTTATTTGTGTTTGTTTGCCCGTTTTGAGTTGATCCATATGTTGCCTATTAGCAAGGTCGTTACTTTCACGCAATCCTGATCGATTTCAATTCGATAGCCCCAATCCACTCAGCGCAAAGTTCAGTCCGAAGAACGAGTAGAATGATGAAAACATCAGCCATCCCGCAGGAATGCCGGTTGAATTATGTTTGTAAACATTCACTTTACATAACGAGATGTTAACCCCAACTGTGCCCTTACGCACACCCCTACAAACAAATCTCATTTTTACTGGCCAGTTTTCCAACTTTATTCGAATTCGGATACTTCAGGAAATGTACTTTTTCAGATATATCGGATATTGGAGGACTGGATCTAGTTAAATCGAGCGGAAAAAGAAACGCATGACTTGAGTTCCGATTGATACATAGGTTGGATCTTATCTGTTGCCGCCAGGAAGCATCTGTTCGATGGCGAGAGTAAATCGTGCGGGTCTTAAAAGTATATTGGAAACATGCATGTGGGCAATAGTCAGATGCAATTTCCGTAAAGCAATGCATTTTCATAATGTCGTTTATTTGAGTGTTTATAAATCTGTTCGCACTCATCATCATGTCGCCCTATTTTCTCCATTTATGCTTGTGGCTGATATACCTCAAAAGTAGTGTTTGCTTTAATTGTGTGAGTGAGATGATCATATGGTTCCAAGTCAATTACCAACTTTTTCAAATTTTGGTTTACACTGTAATTGTTTTAATATCTATAGGAAACTTATTGGAAAATTTTATAGACATACAGTGATGACCTCTTTCAGTTATTATACAGACAGTCGTAGTGCCGGGTACATTTTTCAGTTATTATTTTAGTTATAGTCATATATTTTCGGGTTATTCTTTTATTTATTTGCGCCCAAGGTGTTTCCGCACTAGTTGACAACCCCTTATATCATTTATTTCAAAAAATTGTAGTAAGATGGTAAATACGAAAGTTGTTTATTATAACTCAAGTTTTGAAAATTTCAAATTAAAATAAAAAAAAGGTAAATGTCAAAATTTAACATCAAGTAACTTTTGTTAAATGAACACTCTATGAATTTGTTTCAGCCGTTTTCTTTATATGAAGTTTTAAAAATTACAAATAGCAACAAATGAAAGAAGTCTTGGAATACGACAAACAACCGAAAATCATAGCGATAATGACCGAAAATCATAGCTCTAATAACTAATCTATTTGTTGCTACCATAGAATAAAAAAATAATAAAGACAATAAGATTGAAATTCTATGGAGAAAATGATGAAATCTTGTAACTGGACCTTCATACCGAATATTCTTTAAATAATTCCAGAGAAAAGAATCAAGACCCAGACCAGCTCATTCAGTTCAGATATTCAAATTTTCATTTAAAAAAATTCTACCGGACGAACCTTGTTGGGTGATATTCAATTTTTCATCTGCTTTAACACATGCTCTCTTCTGACTAGTTCATATTTTTGCACATCGCTAAATGTGTTTTGAGATGCAACGCGTCTTTCGGAAAATAGGGCATTACATTCTTTTCTCGCGTTCGAAGTATTCTTTATTTTGGTGAATAAAGGAATAATACTTATCCCATCCATGATAAGAATATTTACTTATACTGTCTAAAAATACAAAGCTGAAATCATCCAGAGATGTTGTCAACTTATGAGAAAAGACGCTGTTGATTTATGTGGATTCTGCAAAAAGAAACTTGAAAATGTTTGAAATAGTGAGAATAGTGAAAATATTGAAAAAGTACATTAAACACATAAACATATACAAGGCATACACTGTAATTAGTCCCATTGGTCTGAAGCTGTTTGTACATGATCGCTGATAATCCATTTATTAAATTATTCTGATCACCCGCACTTGCAGAACATTTTTTTAAACACTACCATATCGGCGCTAGGACACAAAACTATACTTTCAGTCAAAAAGTCAGAGTCAAAATTGGCGGTATGGAAAATATCCAAAGGTTGTTCGCTGATACTTATATTTTCCACTGATTCGTATTTCAAAGCAGATATTTCCAAATTAAAAAAAAAATGGTCCCAACCAAAAAAAAACATCCAAAGTTCCGTTTCCGAATAGAGTACATCCGCTTCCGAATAGAAATGCAGGATAACTTTAACTTTGAATATGACTTCTCCCTAAGAAGGCACACCCATGGGTTCATGTGACATAATTGAATAGACTGCGTAATGAAGTGTTTTTTCACCATGAAGAAAATCTTAACAATTTCGGGATAATTTTTTAAACCTACTCTTGAGTGTTTCTATAAGAAGCTACTAGGCAGTGTTGAATGATCACTATGACATGGATATGCGTCTAACATTTCTATGTATAATATATGTACTAACTTAATTAAAACTGACTCTTAGGCTTTTTTAAATTAATTCTAAACTCGTTTGAAATTACAGAACCTGGGCACATTTTCCATTAATTGCATCCCGTGCTTCAACCCCAATGATTTACCGCTGCCCCCGGATGCCAACATTCCGGACGTCGGTGGCGTCGGCTGCATTGCATCAGGGGTCGACGTGGAAACGAACAGTTGCCATGGAAACGACGCCCGAGGGTAGAACGCCATATTGCGCTCGACGCCGGATTCTCTTATACAGAGAAGATCTAAGCCAGCAGGGATGGACTTTGTAGTCATGGTGAAAAAACAGAAAAAAGGACCTACCATTGAACTGACTGACAATGCAATATCAGGGGCGTCAGAGGTATGTTATCTAATTTAGAAATCCATTCCTACTTATTCCAATTACTAAAAAAAATTTCTCTATTTTTTACTAAATGAAATAGGCTATTTGTATATGTGTTTCCAATCGTCTCACTTGGCTTATTAGGAGATTAGGAGGGATTATAGGAAATGGTCCTTTTGTTTGGCACCTGGTATGGCTTAGCTGGAAAATGAAATAAAAATTTGAAAACCAACAATATCTTAGTCATTATAGACCCAAAAATTCCACATCTACATATTGAAACTTCTTAAGTTGCAAGCCATGCAGTGACCGCAAACACCCACATAGTAAAAAAACTATTTTCCGCGAAAAAAAGTAAAAATTTAGGTAATCAACAAAGTCAAATCTCTAAATGGCTGCCATTTTATACCATTTTCTCCGCAAAGAATCAATCCAATTCAATTGGAAAAAACGAAGGCCCTTCAGTTCCAGAAGTGTTCGAAATTCGTCAAAAGCTCATTATCTCAAACGACGATGCCTTTCCGTATTATAACCTGAAGTGCTCTGTATATACATAAAAATAATTCTATAATTAATCAATTTTAAAAGTGAGGAATCATTTGCAAATTGCAACTTTTAGTGACGCATGTAAGTGACAAACATGTCCCATGAGCCTAAGAGGCCTGTAAAGATACGACATTTTAACAGAAAATGCCGTTTTCTGTTGAAATGCTGTTTCTTAAATTTACTTTCAATTGAACCAGCAACAAAAATCAGTTAATTTTCAAAACATCCATCCCTGTATTAGGTATAGCTAAACTTTAGCAAAATTTATCGACCCCTAAGAAAGTTCAGATATATGTTGCCCCATTGTTTTTAAGCCCAATTGCTTAAGAAACTAAAATTCGTTCAAAATTAGCTTGATAACTCGAATGTACCCTAAATATCTCGAATGTACAAGAGTAGTATCGAGCCCAGATTTTCAAAGATTTCAACGTTATAGTTGGTACAAAATCCGAAGGCTTGAAACGTTCGCTTGAAAATGCTCGAAAGTGCCAAAAAGTAAGTAAAAACAAAGTAATTTTAAATTATTAATTCAGCAATGAAAAAATAACCCAATCACGCCATACATTTAGAGAAAAGTTTTTTGCATAATGCAGAATGAAGGAGTTTTTGCAAAATGCAATTGTTAAATAACCTAACTGAAAAACCCTGTTTTAACTTTGTGCCAGGCTCAAACTTATCAATATTGATTTGTGCCCGCTCTTTTACGCCTTCTTGGACTCTCCAATTATCATATATAATTCCTATATAAACCATTTTCATTTTTTAATAACATTTTGAGTGGTTTTTAAAACTTTGAAAATTTTAAATTAAAAAAAAGCGGGATTTTCGAATGGGAAAAAATCGGAGTGCTATGTTTCTATACTTTCAGCGCAATTACACTTTCCACGATACTAGAGCAATAATACGACGTCCTTCTGCAAGAAATAAAGAAAATATTGATGCCGTAAGAGCCAGTTTTGCTGAAGTTGCAAATTTGTCAATAGTAGACGTTTACCTAAACAGAAAAAACAGGAAAGGTTACAACATAATTGGACCATACTTTTTCCAAAATGAAGTTGATGTTTCGGTTACTGTAAATAGTGCGCGCTATCGATCAATAATTTGATCAAGAGA